GAGGTTTTAAGGTTGCGTGCCTGTGTGTAGCAGTTTAAAGTACTTATTACTAATGGAATCCTGTTAATAAGTTCACTCAGCAAATGTTTGCCGAGCCCCTCATGTGTCTGGACGCTGGGGACCCAAAGGGAAGCAGTCGCTTGGTCGCTTCCGGGACATGCAAGATGGAGAGGTGGGGAGGAGGGGGCCTGCTGGCAGAGGGCCTGGAGCAGCAGCGCATCCGGGCATCGCAGGGCCTGGTCTCATGGGCAGGCCAAGGGTCCCGGGCAGGACAGGGCTTGGCGGGGCCCAGGGGCGGGCTTGGGGAGGTGGGCTGCTAATCAAGACCCGGGTTGGAAATAGGGGTGCCCGGAAGGGGTGTCCTGAGGAGAGAGATGTGGCAGTCAGCTTCCCTAGAGAGGACAGCCTCGGAAACTCTGTGGGGCAGTTCCACTCTGTCCTCTAGGGGCGCTGTGAGTCAGAATGGACTCGGTGGCAGAGGGTTTGGTTGGGTTCCCCTGAGATCCAAGGCTCCGGGCTGGTTCACTCTGCTTCGGCCCCTGCTGAGAATTTGCGTTTTGACCCCAGATGTTCTGAATCAGCATCTACATTTAACAAGCTCCGAGGTGATCGTTAGGCGGATCGACCCCTGGTTCACTGTCTGCGTCTGCAGGTCCCGAGACTCACCGCCCAGAGGAGGTGCTGGTGCCGGACATGGAGCGAGGGGAGGAACTGCAGGAAGACGGCGGCAAAAGGGAGGCCCAGGTGAGCTTCCCGGGGGCTGGTCCCGGACGGTTAGGCAGAAGCATCGCAGAGAAGGGCCTGGGAGCTGCTGAGACCCGGGTGGCCGTCTGACAGGTTTCTTGCCTCCCCGTCTGTTCGGGCTCGTTTTCTGCCTGTTCCACGGTGGTTCGCGCTGGGTGAGGCAGCCGGCCTCACGGGGGTCTAGAGGGTGTGTGTGTCTGTCTGTGGGTCTCTGTGTGTGAGTGCGTGTCTCTGTCTTCGTGTGTGTCTGAGAGTATGTGTGTGTGAGTCTGTATGAGTGTGTGAGTGTGTTTTTGGTGTGAGTGTATGTCTGTGTGTGTGTGTGCGTTATTGAGTGTGTATGTGAGTGTCTCTGTGACTGTGTATGTTATTGGTGTGACTGAGTGCGTATGTTATTGAGTGTGTGTCTGTGGGAGTCTTGGTGTGCATGAGTGTGTGTGTGATTGGTGTGACTGTGTATCTGTGTGTATGAGTGTGACTGTGTGTGTGTGAGTGTGTGTGTGTCCTCTTCCTTGGAGAATAATCTTGTCCCAAGTGGGAATGGTCAGCCCTGAGCCTGCGCCACACAGGACACTGAAATGACACTATGAAGGAAAACATGCCATTATAATACGTAGAATGATATCGAGCCTAGTAAGATTAGTTTTTGTTTTTTAACCTTGAGAGAGTAAATTTTTGGAAGGAAAAAAAAATGGGCAAGAATAATGGCAAAAAATGTTTTGTTTTGTTTTTTGAAAAAAGAAAACAAACTAGAGGTGGGCCTTGCCATCTGAGATTAAACAAAAACATGTCACAAAGCCAAAGCCACAGGGGCTGGAGCAGTGGGGTCCCAGGTAATCAGCTTTGTGGTAACACTGAACGAGAGCGTAGCATGTACAACATGTGGAGAAGTTTGTGTGAATACTTACCTGCTCTCTGTGTGGGGACAGAGTTTCTAGTAATAAAAGCAAAGAAAAAGCTACAAATGAAAAATTGATATAGTTGACTCTAGAAAAAAATCTTCAAAGAACTAAAGCCCTTATAGCATATGTTAAGTACAAGTGAGGGCAAACAATCCAGGAAAGACGTGGGTCTCATATTCGTATCGACATAAAAATTTTTGGCTAAGAGCAAGCAGGCTACTATGTCAAGAGCTCCAAGAAATCAAGAAGAAGCAGTAGCCAGCCTAATAGAAAAATGAGCCAATGATAGATATCATTGGTTCACAACAGAGATGACATAATAGAAAAGTGGGCTAATGACAGACCTAGTTCACAACAGATGACAGAAATGATCAGGGAGCAAAAAGTTCTCGCATTGAAATCAAACATTGGAAATTAGAAGAGGAACTAAAGATCCTATCAAATTAAAGAATTGCTCTAATGTTGATGTTTGCAGTGATGGGGAGGGGTTCTCTAGCAGCCAGAAGTACATAGTGGAACATTACTTGGCCATGAAAAGGAATAATGTATCGATTTATGCTACAATGAGGGTGAACCTTGAAAATGTTATACTAAGTGAAGAAGCCAGTTGCAAAAAGCCACATAGTGTACAATTCCGTTTGGATTTAACAGCCACCATAGTTCTTCCATTGAGGCAGAGCCGTGGAAGTGTCTGTCAGGCAGTGAAACAACGTATTGCATTGGGCAGATCTGCTGCAAAAGTTCTCTTCAGAGCGTTTAAAAGCAAAGATGTCACTTTGAGGACAAGGTGTGCCTGACCCAAGCCGTGGTCTTGCCCATCACCTCGTGCACGTGAGAGCTGGACAGTAGGGAGACTGAGGAAGAGCTGATGCCTTTGCGTTACGTGTTGGTGAAGAGTGCTGAGTGCAGTGTGTGCTGTCGGAAGAACAGAGCCGGGCTGGAAGAAGTACAGCCAGGATGCTCCTTAGGAGCGAGAAGGGCCAGACTCTGTCTCATGTTCCTCGGACACGTTGTCAGGAGGACTGGTCCCTGGAGAAGGACATCATGCTTGGTCAAGTTAGAGGGTCGGCAGAGATGAGAGGGACCCTTGGTGAGAGGGACTGACACGGTGGCTGCAGCAGTGGGCTCAGACAGTGACCTTGTCAAGATGGCACCGGGCCGGAGAGCGTTGCACCCTGCCGTCCCTGGAGTCGCCGTGAGCCCGAGCCGGTGCGGTGGGCCGAACGACAGCCAGCAGCCCGAGTGGCTGCTGAGGGCAGGGAGGAACCGGTCAGTGGTGCACGCGGCCCCAGGTGTCCTCTGGGATGAGGAGAGTGTCTGGGACTAGGGAGAAGGGATGGACACCAGCCTTGTGGGTGAAGTAATGCTACTGAGTTGAATCCTTCAAAATGACTCATTCTGTATTGTGTGGCTTTCGCCTCACTGTAAAGAACCGTGTACAGCATTGTCACAAAAGGGGGTTTAAAAATAAACCTGTGTGAATGCACACGTCCACCCACGGATGTGAGTGGGAATGAAGGGCAGGACAGATGCTGATGGAGCCGTCCCCAGTAAGGGCTCACGGCCTCCTGTGTGTCTTCCTGATGCCCGCAGGCACGTAGTTCTCATCAGAAAGCTGCCAGCCAAATTAAAGGAGACCTAAACGTGTACGAAGACGTCCTCCCGCCTGGGCCTGGGGCCAGGGACTGGGTGAGCCCTCTGAGCCTCACTTTCCTTCTCAGTCAGAAGAGGAGTTTGGGGACCCCTTGAGAGGTGGGTGGCAGGAGGGTGGGGTGCCGCAGCCAGGGCCTGGCTCTCCGTGCTGCCCCACAGTGCCCGGGAGACGCCGAGAGTCCATGGCTCTGCCTGGGCTGTGTTAGCAGCAGTGGCCCTGGTATCTGGAGGAGGTTCCGACAACCAGAACCCCAACTTTGCCATGAGGAGAGTACACCTGCGAGAGTGTACCCACTGGCTGGGAGTTGACTCTGGCCTGGGCGGCCCTTCTCTTGCTCCAACTTGCTGGGTCCTCCGGTGGGAACCTGGGGCCTTCCCTACCTGTTGGCCCATGAGGGGGATGAGCAGCTCCTGAGTTGGGGGTCAGCTGGCATTCACCGGAGTGCTGTGGAGGCTGTGCCCGTCTGAAGGAGCCCTGTTTCAACAGGGAGTTGGTCCAGAGGTTTTAGATGAGTGGCAAGCTGCTGTTGACCCTTCTGGCAAGAGGAGAAAGGTGGACCTGAGCCCGTCTGAGGTCGCCAGCCCCGCTTCTGCAGACTCTGAGCAGGTAGTTTGTACAGATGGTTGGACCCATGCCTCCCTGCATGCCGGCCCCGTGTGCACATTGACACCAACTCAAGGTCAACTCCTGGGTTTCTCTAGAAGAAATGAGCCCGTGAAGGAGGGAGAGGAAGAGGAGGTGGCTAGGGGGAGAGGTGAGGATTTATCTCAAGGAATCGGCTCACACAGTTACAGGAGACTGGCAGGTTCACGGTCTGTAGGTCAAGTTGATAGTCCAGACACCCCCTGAAGGCTTGTGCCCCAGAATTGATAGTTGGGCGACAGGAAGAGTGAAGAGTAGGAGTGACTGCTGAAGTGCTTGGTGTCTGGAGACAGGACACACACTAGGAAAACTCCCTTGTGTGCCTAAGGCCTTCAACTGATTGGATAAGGCCCACCCACGTCAGGGAGGGTCACCTGATCGAATCCCACAGAACTGCTGCATAACGCCATGCGGACTGGCGCCGTCGTCCAGCCGTGCGGACACACAGTTAACCGGCCTTCTGGAAGGCTGGAGAATGGGCTTCCGTTGGGTCAAGCAACGGTGCTGGTTTAAGCCCAGACTCTACAGACGTTTGCTTCCACCGAGTGCCTGCTCGATTCCTCGTGTGGGCCTCCCTGTCCCCTCCTCAGCCATCTTGATTTCTTTTGCAGCCGTCTCTGGCACAGGGGGAGAGTTACCTGGCTAGAGCCCCACAAGCAACACAGGAATTCTTCCCACACAGGAGAGAGGGGCGCCTGGATGCGGGGAGGCAGGGGGGCCGAGGACATGGCTGGTAGAGTGCAAGTCAGTGACGGGGGTTAGAGAGGTCCCCCAGTCGCCCGCCGTGGTCACAGCCTCAGTTATGCCCAGTGTTTCCACCGGTGTGGTGGAAACCCTGCTGAGTCGAGTCAGGTTGCTGGACACTCAGATTCTGATGACTGTCATTTTCTGTAGCATTAAGGAGTCTTAAGGGTTGCTGGTAACTTCAGAAAGTAAGCTAGTTAATGTAGCCATGGACCCGTGGGGCAGTTCCCACTCTGTCCTGTGAAGTCTCTAGGAGTCAGGATCAACTTGACAGCAACCAGTTATGTAGATACGTTGGGAGCCCTGCTGGCACAATGGTTAAGTCCTCTGTGACCAATCAGGTCAGTGTTTTGAGCCCACCGGCCACTCCGTCCGCTTCTGTAAAGATAACAACCTAGGAAACCCCATGGACCAGTTCTGCTCTGTCACACCGGGACTGCTTTAAGCTGGATCAACTCCACAGCACCCATCAATGTGTGTGTTTCTTTGTGGGTGTGACCCGTGGGAGCCCATATGTAATTTTCAGTGTGTGAAACTAACTTTAGTGGAAGGTTCATGATGAGGAATCAGTCAGTGTGAGGGTCGGCTGGGCCCTTGGTGGCTGCTGAGTGGGTGGTGGCCGCTTGGCCACTCGTCCCTGTGCTCTGTCCACCATCCCCTTCCTTTGTGTTACAACCTCGTTCTTCCTGGGACAGAGCACTTGCAGATCAGAGAGCTGGAGGAGGGGGTCGGTTGAGCAGTGCTCTAGGCGTGCAGCCTTGAGGAGGGGATTGAAGTGGATGAGCTGTTGGCTAGAGGGAGGAAGTCTGAGGTCTAAAGTTTGTTTCTTTTTCTGTTAGAGCAAGAAGAAGAAGAAGAAGAAAAAGAGTAAGACGTCGTCCACTTCTGATGAGCTGGACTCCCTGGAGCTGTCACCCTCGGCCCCACTTACCCCAAGTTCCCTCTCACTCCCTGGGGCCATGAACCTGGCCCTGCACGGAGGCCAAGATCTGCAGGACAGTGTCAGTGGCCAGTCCGACCAGTCCCCGGCCAGCGGCGCTGATGCCAGGTGTGACCAGGACGGTGTGAGCGGCCAGGCCCCGGCCAGCGGCGCAGATGCCAGGTGTGACCAGGACGGTGTGAGCGGCCAGGCCCCGGCCAGCGGCGCTGATGCCAGGTGTGACCAGGACGGTGTGAGCGGCCAGCCCCCGGCCAGCGGCGC